TAGAGCTAGAGTAAACTTGCTTCTTTGTTTTATTTTGTTTAGCAATTTAAGTTTCTAGAATTAAATTAATTAAGACTCTTATGCATAAATATCACTGCTGTTCTGTAGTATCCTTTCTATATAAGCAGACGAAAAAGTAAGCCACGCCTTTAACATCAGACGCAATCTCATGCACACAACTTTGCACTAACACAAGCAGACCTCCATTCCAGAGTTAACCACAGTAGACCAGTCAGCTCTAGCTTCCACGCTTGGAATTGAAAACGCCGCCCAACTTAAACAGCTCTTTTTAAAATTACTACATTTTTAGGGCTAACGCATTCTAGATTTATTTTAAATGTCTCGCTTTTCTTTAAAAAGGCATAGCTTAGAAACTATATTGTTAGAAATTAGGTGATTATTTCTTCTAACCACTTCATTCATGTGCTTTATTTATCAATTCACCTCACTTGAACCTGATGGGTATAAGCTACAGCAGTGTCATGAGAGAGATTCTCTGAGCAGCAGTGTAAGGCTAAGGAAACGAACACCAGCAGAACTTCAGGGGAAGAGGATGACAGCAGCCCGTGGAAGTGGGAACATGAAGAAGGCTGGGGACCAGAAGGAAGAACTGCCACGTCTGCGTGCGCCTGCCAAATAAAGGATTTGGGGCTGTTTAGCAGTTCAGAATCCATGCGGTTTGAGAGAAGGAGGGAAGTATGTCACTAGTTGTTTATGACTGCCCCATTCCAACCGCTTCTTTGCACAGCATGTTCTTGTTCATTTTAGAGAAATTCCACCTGGGCTCCATCAGACACATGAAAAGAATGTGCTATTCCTGAGAAGATCTAGGAGAAGGAGAGAATTCTACTTTAACAGGGTCACAAAGCACTGTTTTTCTTGTCTTTCTTTGATATTTTATTTGTTGTCTGTCTTTCGTAGAGGGCTTTGGGTGTATTAACTAAAAAGCATAGTGTAGGCATAATTTTTTAAATTAACTTGTTTTAGCTTCTAAGAAAACAAATAAAACATGATCATGAATCACCTGATATTTATTGCACCTGCTATTTGGGGGCAAAGGGAGAGATTTAAAAGTTCCTTGGCCCCTAGAAAGCAAGTAGCTAAATCATGTGACACAAATTGAGAATGATGTAGTATTAAAATCAGAGTGGGACTTAGAAGAGTTCATAGAAGTGGAAAATTGATAAGCAACCACCCCAGCCAAGGGCATTGGCATAGACTTTCAAGATTGTAAGATTTAGAAAGCACCAGAGGATGTGATTTGACTAGGTAAAGGAAATCATATGATTAAGCCTATATTGTTGAGTGAATGGGTCACATTACAAAGATCAGAATTAGATTATGCTTAAGGAGGGCAAAGGTTGCCTGTGGAAAGTAACAGAATGTGGGTTTGAGAAGGTATGTGGATTGAAACTTGATGGGTCAAAACAGCAAGGAAAATTTGCAATAAGAGACAATTATCAGTTCTTGAGTACAGGAAACGTATGTCTGCAAGTATGTTAAATTGTAGCTTTGTTCCGAGTTTCAATAATGACAGGAGGAAGGATCAAAGTTGAGGTGGCCCAGAGCTGCCGGTAGAGTAGGAGACACTATTCAATTTTCAAATATGGCCAGAGGTTTCAGCAGTTTACTGTGTGTCAGAGTATGTTTGCTATTCATAGAGGACATTCTATATGGCTGAAACCCAAGAATCGTGAATTTAATCTATTTTCTTTCGTGCTAGACGTTTTCACAATTTGTTCTTCACACCAGAAATCGCAAAACGTGCCACATATTTACTGAATTTACTTCGGTTTTTGGCATGTAAAGAAATGCTGGGGACTTTTTAAACAGAGATGCATGGGTAAAGTCCAGATAAAGATGATCAAACTAACATATAAATAAGGACATACATTTTCATCCATCAAAAAACTTTCTTCTTCTAGACAAAGTATAAATATCATATTGTCCTTAAACACTTGTCAGGAATATCCCAGAGAGAAGTGGGGATTTTAATGAATTTCTTAATCCCTGCATAACTTTCTTATGGTATCATTTTCATGATATGGTATTTTGTACCTTGTATTATATTTAACTCATCTTTATTGGGGTTCCTACTATTTAAAATTTAAATGTGCTAGTAGAATTTTATGTGTCATCTAGATGATAATGATAAGCAATTTAAAGAAAATCACTGACAAAACCGAGAGATGTTTCATGATCTCTGTTTACAGCCATTGGTATGTGGAAGGCTCTCAGTAATAGTCATAACATGATTAGAACAATAAATGTTTTTCTTATATTTTGGGAGAAAAAGTAGTGCTTTGGTTTCGATCATTCAATATAATTATTGCATTTCAAAATGGGTATAAAAAAACCCCACTGCGTAGAATCAAGGAACCCTGTGGATGTAGTGGTTATGCATTGGGCTAGTAATGGCAAGGTCAGGGGTTTGAAACTATCGGAGCTCCAGGGGAGAAAAATGAGCCTTTCTCCTTTCACAGTTACCGTCTCAGAAGCACACAGTTGTACCCTGTCCTGTAGAGCTGTGGAGTCAGAATTGACTCTTTGGCAGTGCCCTTATGGGACAGAGTAAAATTGGTCCCCAGAATGCCCAAGGCTGTAAATCTTTATGGAAGATTACTACACCTTGCTACCACCTTTTGGCTGGTAGCCCAACACTTAACCCAGGATACCACCAGCTGCTTAAAATGAGCCCAATGGGAGAATAACAAATGCTTCTTTTGTTCAAAATGCTGCAATCTATTTTTATTTTATTTTTAAAAATCTTTTTATAGGGGGCTCGTAGAGCTCTTATCACAACCCATCCATCAATTGTGTCAAGCACATTTGCACAATTGTTGCCATCATCATTCTCAAAACATTTTCATTCTACTTGAACCCTTGGTATCAGCTCCTAAAATGTGATAATTTAAAAGTTAAATAAAAAGTCTTGAGAGAGAAATGCTTCCAAGAAGAAGATTATTATGCAAATAACATTCAGTGATTTTTTTTATGGTTGTATTTCTTTATATATAAAATACTTTATACCCTTTGAAAAATAAACACCAAAGAATGTAAATAGGCAGTATCCAAGATAAATAAATACTCTTCCTGGGAAGAGTAGAGCATAAATTAGACTTTAAAGATAAACTAAGAGTTTAATCTTAAGTAGGAGATCTAAGAGAAGGATATATAGTTGACAAAGATCCATTAGAGATTTTTACAGAATTACCATGTTTATAACTGGCATTACAAGACTACAAGTGTTAATGGGAAAGAAGTATCTTAGATATAAAAATAGCTAAGTATTAAGGTACTGAGCTAAATTAATTGCCACACAACTATTGCAGATAATGTGCAAAAGAAAATTATCCTCAAATCATTAATTTTTAGAAAGTTTAGAATATTTTAGGCACCTAATACTCTATGACCTCTTACAAAGAACATATTATATTATTTAATGCTTTCAGAGCTCAGTGCACACTGCTAAACAAAACCACATGTCAACAGCTGTCCCTGAGGAATAAAAGAAGTTGTCTGGAATCCATGTTGTCTGCTTGTTTTATCCTTTCTCTGGTCCGTACATCATGCTGGAAATGATCAGCGTCTCCTCTGAGCTGATATGAAGAAAAAGGTAGAAGAGAGTAACAGTGGCTGTGTCCCACTGTGTGTATCAGGGATGGAACAAGCATTTCACCATCTTCATAACAAGCTCATAAGGGGGTGTTATTATCTCCGTTCTTTTGTTGGAGCTAGGTCAACTGGCTAGGTCATAAAATGTGCCAGGGCAAGATATGACAAAATAATAATTTATAAATTATCAACGGTTCATGAGGGAGGGACGGGTAAAAATGAGGAGCTGATGCCAGGGGCTTAGGTGGAGAGCAAATGTTATGAGAATGATAAGGGCAATGAACATACAAATGTGCTTTACACAATTGATGTGTGTATGGATTGTGATAAGAATTGTATGAGCCCCTAATAAAATGATTTAAAAAAAGAAAAGGTGCCTGAAGTCCCAGGCTGGTAAGTGGCGGGGCTCCTATTCAATGCCAGAGCCCACCAAGCTCTCCCCACCACATTTCATACAATGGTAACTGGCTGAAACACGCAGCTAAATGGTCTTACTTATATTTTAAAAGCTATTTTAGTCCTTTCATTTTTACTAAATGTCTTGGAGGGCTGATGTTGGAGAGATACATCTTATAAATTGATCCTAAAGATAAACCATAAGTGAACTGTGCTTTCAACAAATTAAATTTTAGCATACGCAGTCACATTTTTCTGTGATGAGAGATCATAGAAAGAGGTAGGTGGTGCATGTTATAATTACATATGTATCTTTATATCCAAACATACGTTCCAATGTGGAAAAATTTATGGAATTTAAGTAGAAGAGTTGCCAACTCCTTATATAAAATTGAAAGCAAATTTTATAGGCTTATACATATTAACAAGAGTTGGTAGAAGGTAGTCTTTATCTGTAAAAGATTAAAGGCAACCTGTCTACTTAGTGTGGTATTTATCTGCTAGGACAGAGCATGAAAATTTATTATAAGCAATTCATCTTTTTGATGGACAGTGTGAATGAATGTCTGATCTTGTGATGTCAATATTAATTTTTTTGTCAAAAGCAACTTAGCAAATTTCATGTTATCTCTAATTAGAAATGCCAGAGTATATATTTAAATCAAAATTCTAAAGCAATGTTTTTTGTTGTTTGTTTTAAAACACACACAGCACATATGATATTACTTGTACACTTCAATGCCATTGGTTACATTTTCAAGCTGTGCAACCATTTTAGCGCTATTTTTCCAAACAATCTCACTGCCAATAACATGTCTTCAATTCATTCTAAGCAAAATCTTTTCCCCGCTCTCTCCCAAACCTGGTAAGCACTCATCACATTTGGTTAAAAAGAACAATGGTGTTTTGATTGTCTCATTTTATACTTAGAGATAAATTAAAGTCAACAGAGGGAAAATGAATGAAGCATGCTCATATTTCTTTTCTAGTGTTCGGCTTCCTGTGGTAAAGGTATCAAATCCCGTGAGGTGCTTTGCATTGACCAATTCCAGAGAAAATTAGAAGACAAGTATTGTAGTCATCAACGTAGACCTCGAACTCACAAAGTTTGTAGATTGGGCAGATGTCCCTCATGGAAAGCCAATAGATGGAAAGAGGTATGTGGTACATTTTATAATTACATATGTATCTTTGAATTTTCAAAATTCTTAATTCATCCTGTATGCTTTCAATAACCTTGAAAGAATTTACTACATTAAAATGTACTTTACTTGATTAGTACTCTTTTTCACGATGTTCTGAAACAATACTGTACACTGCTAATGTATTTGATAAGTCTATAGTACAATAAGGAGCCCTGGGTTACCTACTGGGATAGCTTCAAGGTCAGCAGTTCAAAACCACCAGCTGCTTTATGTGAGAAAGAAAAGGCCTTCAGCACTTATAATCAATTTGATAACAGTGGGTGGGTATTGTTAAAAAACAGCCCATGTGTTTCAGAGAAGAACTATGCTCCATTGAGTTTTCAATGGCTAGTTTTTTAGAGGTAAATCTTCAGGTTTATCATCCAAGGAATCACGAAACTTTAGTTTATGAGCCAAGACAATTAGCTGTGTGCACACATGGTGTTACTTCACGTTCGAACAGACTGGATGACAACTGACTTTTACAGTTAAATACCCAATTAGTACTATCTCCATTCATGGCTGTACACTTTATTAAAAATTAACCTACTGAATACGACAAGGGCTACTGATGGTTATGCCTCTATTCTTGGTAGCCCAAGAGTGAAATTACATGTTAATGTAGCTAATGACTTCCTAGCTGCCACTCTCATGCATTAGATTTGAGCTAAGGTTGCCTTTGGCTAGAGGGACTTGCGCGTTTCAGACAAAATTCTTCTGAGTTGAGAGTTAGAAAATTATGCTAAATTAAGCTAGACTGCATAGGCAGGGCAAAGGCTAGAATGAACACATGGAGAAAGGCTGAGCGAAAAAGACACAGATATTGCCTAGATGAAATCCAGGCTGAGGCTCAGTCTGTGGAAGAAGAGTAATTGGTACCTGGCCTGGTATACTCCGAGAAAAGAGCTTAAAATCATAGGGGTGGAATCACATGTGCTTTTGAAAGATCAAGCGTGGTAGAGCCATGAATGAAATCAGATACACGTGTTAACTCACAGAGTCTCCAGGGGCCGAATTTCCATAAGGCTAGTTCACCAGGGAACCCTTGAGGCTCAGTGTTTAAGTCTGGGACTACTAACAGAAAGGTTTGTGGTTCAAACCTACCACCTGTTTTATGGAGAGAGTTGTGGCAGTGTGCTTCAGTACAGATTACAACCTTGGGAACCCTGCCAAGGTTCTACTCTGTCTTTTAAGGATGAGTGGATTTGATAGCAAAGAGTTCAGTTAGGGCTCGGGTTTGGCCTTTTACCACATCCTGCATACAGCAGTACCACTTCAGATGCTAACGCTTTTAATTTTAAAAAATGTTTTTTTGTTGACTCATCATTCACATATCATACAGTCCAGTAGTTCAATCATATTAAAAAGAGTTGTGCAAGCATCACCACAATCAATTGTAGACTATTTTCTTCTTTCTTGTATTCATTACTGTTTGCTCATTTCCCCTCAACCTTCCCTGCCCCACCCCTACGAAGCTGTTAATTCAGTTATTATTTTTATAGAGTTGTATTCTGGATTTCTTATACAGAAAAAAATAAAACAACAAAAAAACCCAACAATAACTAAATAAGACAGAGCAAACATCAGTCAAAAACAAAGTAGAAAAATTTTCAACCTAGAATAAATTTTAAGAGGGTCAAAAGGGAACTCAAATAATAAAATATTAAATTTTAATCTACATCTGTCATAATCCACTTTCTAATGCACTGTGTCTGATAGCAAGGCAATTTACATTCCTGGTCTGTGATCAGAGGGGATTCGCCGGAGGTTCAATCCACTTGGAGACCCTGCAAATGTATTTTGGGCTTTCTCTGTCAGCTATAGCTTTCTGCAAATCAGATGCTCAGAACTTAAGCTCTTAATGCCATATCATCCTCCAGTTTTAGATGTTATTATTTATAGTCCTTGAATCACACAGGCGCCTGTGCCGCATTTAGAGGGCTGTTTGTTTGAAGACAAGCCTTTCAGACACCAGAGCTATTCTTTCTAAGAGTGGGGCACCACCTGATTTCTTAACGTTGCTATAACACTCATACCTTCAGTGACTTCTTTATGAGGGCTAGCATTGAGGAGGGCCATGTCATAGGAACTGTTTATTAGATTTAAGGCCATGATTAAGAAACTAATGTTTATTAGATTTAAGGCTATGATTAATTGTGAGTTCAGAGTTCATTGATCCTTCCTCTTTGTTTCCAACATTTGCATTCCAATCACCAATAATCTTCAATGCATCTTGATTGCATGGCTGATCAATGTCAGACTGAAGATACTGGATAAATTAAATTTCTTTACCACTAGCATTAGTGATTAGTGCATATATTTAAAATTAAAATATATGAAAATAAAATTTGAACATAAAATTGAACAGAAATTTGAACATAAAATAGTTTTATTGAGTGGGTCTCCTTGTATATGAATAGATATAATGCTATCAGAGATAGCATTGTGCTTCACGATAGATCTTGAAATGTCATTTTTTAATGATGAATACAAAAGGATTTTTCTTGAGTCTCTTATTCCCTGTATAGTAAACCATGTTTTTGGATTCAAAATGACTAATACCAGCTCATGCATAGAATGTTGATATTTATATGTTCTTTTTCATTTTTGATGACTTCCAATGTTCCTAGAGCCACACTTACATTCCAAGTTCCAGTGATTAATCGATGTTTGCAGTTGTTTGAGATTTTACTCCTATAGGACTGGCTTCACCCACAGAGTGCTCTTCCTCAATCATACGCCTTCTGTCGTGGGGGGGCTCATCTTCTGGCACCCTTTCTGAAAATGTTCTGCTTTATTCATGAGATTTTTCAATCTCTGATAATGTTTTGATATGATCCATAAGGTTCTTAGTGACTAATTCCTCAATAGTGGACAGTTTATTTCTTCCTCCTAGTCTGTTCTTAGCCTGGAAGTTCTGCTGAAACCTGTTTACTCTGGGTAACCCTGCTGGTATTTGAAATATTGGTGACATAACTTCACACATCAATGCAACATGCCAGAAACCATATTATGACAAATTGCTAGACAAGTGGTATGTCTGGCACTAGAGGTAGGTTAACTGGGGAAAAAGGAGATCAGACAGGAGGCAGAAAGAGTCGAGTTCCCTAGGCTTCCTAACTTGTCACCACTCTTTCAGATCAGTTTCTTGGCTTGGAATAAAAAGCTGCCCAACTGAAAGCGAGGCTCTCAGGTCTATTTGTAGCTGCTTCTCTTAAGAATTAGAGTCTTCAAAAGCAGAGTTTTCAGTTTACTTAGAAGCAAGAGCATTTCTATTTTTTGTCTCGCTCACAAAAAATGTTCTTGAGCATTTGCTTCTGTATTGAATTCTGGTCAAACTATTTTTAATGTTCCAATAGAAAGCAAAGTTGTTTTAAATCATTTTATTGGTGGCTCATACAGCTCTTATCGCAATCCATACATCCATCCATTGTGTCAACCACATTTGTACATTTGTTGCCCTCATCATTTTCAAAACATTTTCTCTCTACTTGAGCTCTTGGTATCAGCTCCTCATTTTTTCCCTCCCTCTCCACCCTCCCTCACTCATGAACCCTTGATAAGTTATAGATTATTATTATTTTTTCATGTCTTGCACTGACTGATGTCTCCCTTCACCCACTTTTCTGTTGTCCATCACCCTGGGATGGGATTATATATAGATCATTGGATTGGTTCCCTCTTTCAGAGAGAAAATTTTTTAAAAAGTTCCACATTTACCTATTTTTTTAGTGAGCATCATTAAACTCAACTAAATTGTTCAAGAAAGAACAATTTGGCGAGGCTCCATCTTTGGATAGTTATGCAATCAAAAGACTGAACGCATTGCCATAGAGTCTATGCCAACTCACATTCAACCCGATTGACAGGGTAGAACTGCCCTCGTGAGTTTCTGAGACCGTAACTTTTAACAGGAGTGGAAAGCCCCATCTTTCTCCTGGGGAGTGGGTTGATGGTTTTGAACTGCCGACCTGGAAGATTCCAGCCTAATGCGTAACCACTACACCATCACAGCTCCTTTTCTTAATTCTCTTAGCAAAGTTGCTCTGGAATCTCCGCTGCAATCATCTCCCTTTAGTTCACCATTACTCACTCCTGACATAAAATGGTCTTGTTCCATATTTTTAAAACTTTATTATTATTATTTGTGTATAATATGAACTTATAGGAAATCAGATATGATTGTCACTTAATATCTTCCTGCTATGATTTTCTATTGTTGTTTTAGGGTAATTCTAAAAAGTAGCCTGTATCGACTTCTTCTGTTTTCTCTTCAAACCACATTGTTTTTTTATCTTTTTAGGCTTTGGTGGCAGAGGGCATTACATCACAAGATTTGTAGTTTAAACACACTAATCATTCCAAGGGAGAAAGATGAGGCTTTCTGGTCTATAAAGATCTACAGCCTGAGAAACCCAAATGGTAGCTCTACTCTACCCTGTGCGGTTGACAGGGGTTGGAACTGACCCAATGGCAAGGAGCTAAAAGCACCTAGTTTAGCACGTGGATCCATGCTTCTTATTTTAAATATTGTGACTTCATTTTCAAAAGCACTCATCACCTCTGGAAAACCAGTTGCCCTCTCAGGAGCTCTGATTCATGGCGACCGTGGGCTCCATAGGGGTTTCAGTGGCTGAATTTTCAGATTTTAACATTCCACATCTCACTTCGCAGCCGATCATGCTAACCACATGCACTCTCCAGGAACCTCTGGTTGCTGTTGCTGCTGTTTGGCAGCATTGAGTCAGTTATGACCGATAGCGACCCTATGGATAGTAGACTGAAACACGCCACGGTCCTGCGCCATCCTCAGAAATGTTACAATGCCTGAGCCCATTCTTACAGCCACTGTGTCAATACGTCTCCACGAGGGCCTTCCTCTTTTTCAATGTCCCTTCACTTTACCAGGCATGACGTCTTTCTCCAGACTGGTCTCTCCTGACAATATGTCCAAAGTAGGTAAGAAAAAAATC